GAAACAAAGTGTTTTGGGACTTATTGCTTTTCACCAAGGCGAATTAATGAAGTTAATCAAGACTTGTTATTATAGATTTCAAGACCTTACTATGGGAAGCACTTTTCCCTTTCTCGATATAGTATTTTCCTTTTGCCTTTTGAGAGCCTCCAAAATCATACTTTCTGTGAACCACTGTTTGAGGAACAAGTTTTGTTTGATATTGTAGCGATTGTTTGTTAAAATATGATTCTATTAACGTTGATTTTATCGTTTTTCACGGTAACAGTGAATTTTGGAACGGAACTATGTAACAGAGATATTTTTGTTATCAGTAATGTTAACACTTTTCTAAGCTGCACGCAGAAGCTTTGCCTAAACTTCTATAAATACGAGTATTAATAACATAGAAGAGAATAACGTAACTAAGATGAAGTAATAACGTGGATATAAAAAAATTCGTACTCAGATTTGTGTAATTTACAATAATGACGAGTCCTGTTCGACACGGATTACAGGATCGCATCTGGTGCGGTGATTTTGGAGCAGCTCCAACTGGATCCTCGGGGCAGGAAGAAGTAAATTCTAGTACGAACCCGGATCGAAGGAGATTTGTTTCTTTGTAAACAATCTACGCCTTCACGGAGACTACGTTCAATGGTATCGGATTGATGTGTTTAGAGTATCGTGAATTTCGTTCGTAAAATGCTATTTCGGAAATGGTTCGAAAAAGTGGCCTGTTTTTAAACGCTCAAAGAAACTGCCAAATTGCGTACATTTCGACGAACAATTACTCAAGAACATCCAGAAATAAATTTATTTTTATTATATTTCAATCGGTATTCGTCGTTAAAATTCTATGGTTCTCGTTTGATTTAAAAAATCTTAATTATATTCTATTTTATAAATGTGCAACATAGAACGCAAAATTCTAAACGAGACAATATCATTCAAAGTGTACTTAATTCTATATCATTAGAAAAAAAAATTAAACTCATTTGTATTGTTATCACTACGTAAATAATTTATTACTCAAAATTACTACTCTCCAACAATTTTTCAATGTTTTACGTTCATTCTAAAATACCCTGAATTCCTTTAAAATAAATAATAAATTTAAATTTAATTTTCGATTATACAGGATGTTCGGCCACACCTGGGAAAAATTTTAATGGGAGATTCTAGAGGTCAAAATAAGACGAAAATCAAGAATACCAATTTGTTGATGGAGGCTTTGTTAATAAGTTATTAACGTTTGAAGTTCCGCCCGTACCGAATTTTTTTCTCGAAAATGCATAGGATTTCGGGGTTATGTGTAATGACCAAAAATGATTGTAATTGACCCCCGCAACCGAAAATAATTTTTCCAGACCGATTTGAAATTTTTTTTTTCCTTCGAGAAATTTCATACATTCTCGAATTTTTTTCTAGAAAGTGGGTAGGATTTCGGGAGTATGTGTAATAACCAAAAATGATTGTAATTGACCCCCGCAACCGAAAATAATTTTTCCAGAACGATTTGAAATTTTTGAATTTAATTGTTAAAATAAAATTAAACTATCATTTGTATTGTTATCACTACGTAAATACAATTTATTATTCAAAATTACTACTCTCCAACAATTTTTGAATGTTTTACGTTCATCCTTAAATACCCTGAATCCCTTTAAAATGAATAATAAATTTAAATTAAATTTTCAATTATATAAAAATAAACTTTAATATAAAAAAAAGGTTCCTGCGATAAATAAAGCGCCACCATGTTTCGGAAGCAGTAACACTATCTACACTGAAATAATGAATTTATCTGAATGCGACGCAGAACAAAAGTTTCTCGACAACGTATATCGCGTTATGATTTTAAAAAAAAACTGTACAATCACGGAAGCAATCGACGTATGATTTATCTTCTCTCTTTAGAATTTTCAAGCCTGAATCAGTGCAACGGAAATTTTTCACGACAATTTCTCTGAACGACATCGATACATATCGATCGGTATTATCTAAGAAAATCTATGCGAATCTTTGAAGCGATTGTTCGTGGAACCCTCATCGCGTATCATGCAACCGGGAGCATACCGTACTAACCAATATCGATATAAAACGAGATAGCAGATAAGCGACAGATAAACGTTCATTTAAAAAAAACTAAATAGAAGTTCAATATTTTTACTAATAATAAATTCCATCGTTTCCTATTGACTTTTCTCATGTTTTTCTTCGAGAGAAAGAATCCTCCCAGATTTCTAAATCGTTTTCTTCCAAGGGAACCATCAAATGTATCAACAAAATCGATCAGTGGCAATTTGAAATAGTAAAAATGCAAGTCACGGACGAACACGATATAAAATACGCCCAATCATATTTGTGCAATAGTTTAGATATCTGGCATTACAGTCAGATGTAGCAAAAATCACGGAAACTTTCAGGGTGACACGATGGAACGGAATCGATGGTAGAAGCTAGTGTCTTTACGATTGCAAATCGACCACTATCGCGATCGAACAACAAATGAAACGCAACTAGTAGGAACGTACGTCGAAAAACGAAACCTAGCATTAAATAGCAATAACGACGTTTGTCGACACAGCCGTGCCGTACTTTCCGCGGTTGCATTCGCGTCGCGACCTCCTTTTATTAATTCCACGTGACACTTATAATTCAGGTGAAAATTACTCCATGCTTACTCAACGTTAATATGCTTCGCGATAACGATACCTGATGCGCGAAACTGTGGGAAACACTGCAACATAGAAGGAAACTCGTCCACAACCGCGTGCTCGAATAAAGGGGACTTCCAGTTACTTCCACGAATCGTGCCGCGTTTACAAATATAATACATTCAAGCTAAATGTAAAAATATTCTGCAATATTTCATAACATAACGTCAGAGTTTTTGCAACGATTTGGTCGTATTTCCAGTCCTAACAAGAGTTAAGGCAGAATCGGATCGATGCAAATTCGAAGTCCTTGAGTTTTGATTTTTAACGAATAACAATAATAATATTATTATTCGATGAACTTGTAAAACTAATGTAGATTAGTTATATGTAATAATACGAAGATTTAATAAGAAACTTTGTACAAGAAGTCCAGATAATGAAATTTAGATTCGGATCAAAATAGACCCGAACTCTGCCATTGAAAGACTAATGCTCGGTGAGCTTGTAATATTATTCTATTATTTGAACTAAATTCTGCAACGTTGGACTTGGACTCCAATTTTCCAGAGATTTCTTGCTATTGTTATTAATTTTCGTATCGACGATTCTCGTTAAGTTTCGTGCGACGCGTCTAGTGTATTGCATAAGCAAAATGTACGCATTGGTATCGGCGCTTAGCGTGGTAAATATTTGTTTAATTGCGTTTAGAATCGTGCTGGCTTGTTTAGGTTCCACGTGTTCGCGTTGTGTCTTTCACGGCGTCGACATTAAATATCCATTTGAATTAGTTCTTCGAACCGACTATTTCAATTGCAAATAAGTCTGCGAGCCCGAAACGAACTCGTTACTTGTATAATTGGAATATAGTTATTTAAATAACTTCGAATAGAAATACGTTATTCAAGGTAAATAATAACAGATTTTACAGATTATACAACGCGAAATAATAAATTTATATTGCAAACGAAAATTAAATGTTTTCATTGAAATTTTCACGTTTGCAATTATTTTTTGTAAATTGTTCTGGGTCAATATTTACGTTTTGTACGTATATTTTTTTATAAAATCACGCAAGGTTTGAGTGAACAGTAACAGCACGGACCAGATATTAAAATGTCGATTTCAGGATTTTGAATAGGCTTTCCATCTCGACGCTACCGATTTCTATTTCTTTCCCGATGCCATGTTCCTATTTATACACACGGCGGTCAGGAATACTTCCGCTGGGATTTAATTAATTCTCACGCGATCAGATGATCGCCTCTGTCAATGTAACCGTTAATCCGCGATAAGTTCGTTCCGTCGGCGTTTCGTTGCACAATTTTTAATTAAAACCTTTCTCTTCGCCAACGCCGCTACACAGAAATTATTTCTACTGCTCGATGTAACTTTTATTTACCACAACACCAAAACAGAATAATCTACGATAAACAATCGAGACGTCAATGTATACGTTTAATAATATGTAGCTTTTATTTACCACAACACTAATAGAATTGTCAGAAATAAATAAACAGCCACCATAAACAATCGATACGTCAGTCCCAACACGTAAACATTTACTAATCATCTACTTTATTTAATCTAGAACTGTATGTAGTCTAGAACCTTCGATAAGTCTATTTTTAATTTTTTTAAATGAGCAAAGCTATTATTATTTTCGAATTTGTAAGATATCTTCGGCACATGTGTCTTTATCGTCCGTACTAAAATTTTCAAAACTCGATAATTATTTCGAACTCACGAAAGGTGAAAGAAAAAATCGACGAGCCGGCTGTAAAATGGGGCCAAAACTGTACTTATCAATATTTCTTGCATAATTTTAGTGCCGACCCACGTTTATACCGAACAAAATGATTTATTGTTTATTCATTTTAGATAAGCAGAGCGGTCAGAGTCGTGAAGGCATGTTCAACAAAACGGGAACAACTGTATCTTCAACAATTTTAAGTATTACACGAAAAAACTGCGTATACCTCTTCGATACGGACCAAATCCATACGACGAAACTCGATAAAAAAGTGTAATAATTAATTCGTCTCTAAATTCGAAAGAACACGTGAAAAATGATCGTCTAGATCAGAACGTTCCTTTAAGCGTCGACGATATTAATTTACGTTAAATTTGATCGATCTAACACAAATATATGTTCTAATTAAACGAAAAACCTTTTAACGTAACTGTCAACGTTGATGATAAAAATATATCGAAGCGGATCCAGCGATGAAAAATATTCTCGTAGCGTCCGGGTTACGCAACGCGGTTCTCGATCGCGGCGAAAATGTATCGTCGACGAATAAAAAGACGCGAGATATCGAAGGGTTGAAAAAGCTAGGGGTAACAAGTTGCAAGGCTCACCTGAAATTTGCCCCCGTGAACTGGCGCTCCTTGGCTCTGCATCTTGTGCGACATCGTCGTTTAAAAAGCTCGGTTTCGTGCCGCGCGTGAAATCGCTCGTGAGAAGGAGCCTTCTGGCAAGCTGCGCGTTTATTCGCGCTCTAAACGAGCGAGTTTCTCTGGTCGATCGTAAACGGTCGGCGGTCGAAGTCTCCTCTCCCGCTACGCCGGTTCGTCCGATTCACTTTTGGCGATCTGAACGGAACGTCGTGGTATATCCACACGCACGAGCACCAATCCAAACACGGTGCTGTGCTAACGAATTTATGTATATATATATATATATATCCCCAGAGGGATACCGCGTGTACCACAGCCCGGGCCTTTGTACCCCAAAAACGCTACAAACGTGCCCGTATATACTTTTCTCTTTCAACGAACCGACCCTGTCGACGTACTAGCTCGCACTGATCCTTCTCCTTTCCTTGCTCCGACTTTCGTTCGCGCTTTCTCCCCTGCCTCTGTCACTTGACCGCTCGGGGGATGTATTGCACGAGCCAAAGGATACAACCGAGGGTGGGGGAGGAATGAATAGACGGAGCTTCCGAGGGGAGAGGGTAAACAACTAGGGGGGAACGGGTTTCGCGTTCGATTGCTGTTCGAATGGAATCGGACACGCGACTGCGACGCGTGGACCGTGTGTCGTCACACGGATGAAACGTGCATGGAAAAACAGAGATCGGTCCCTCTCGATCGGGGCTGGAGAAACGTCGCGAGCGTCGAAGAGACTCGACTAGGAATGACGATCCATGTGGGAGGCCACGGAGCGCGCTGTTCGGTCTCCTCTTCTCCCCACCACTTCTTCGCGAGTGTACCTCCTTCGTCCCATTCCTCCTCGTCGGCACACGCACACACACCATCCTGAACCCACTGTGTGAACGGCTAAGCTTCTCGGTGACTATGCTATTCCCCCACCCTCTCGTCAAACAACCTCGAACCCCCACTGCACCCTCCCCGATCACGGCCAACGTTCACTTCTCCGGGTTCTCGGGCGATGTTCGCCACTTCCACCGGCAACAACCATCACCACCACCATTACCATCGACGGTGCGCGACGTTGTCGTCTTCTTCTCCTTTCTAGTTTCTCGCTTTTTCCTCCCACCGCTCTCTACAAGACATGCGAACTCTTGCTACCACTATATATATCTCTCTCTATCACGGCGCCTCTCTCCTTACCCTGTCGCTTATTTTTTTCTCCTTTTTCTTTCACCCGTCTCCTTTTTCGCCCGCGAAACCATTCGCCACTCCCATCGCACATGCCAAATCCATTTACGTCGAACGCGTTTCTGCATCATTATCCGCCTATCGGGTTTATAATCGTCTTGCGTCGACGATGCTCGGCCGCTGCCAGGATCAAGGTTAACGCATTGTATTGTTGATGTTGCGGGAACGCGCGCATCACCGGCGCCGCGCTTTGCTCCGAAACGCCCAAAACCCGAACTCGCAAACCCTAGAAGATCGTTAAGAGCATTCAGATGCACATTTTTACTTGTTATTTCTTTTTTAAGAAAACCATAAACTACTCCGTATTGGGACTGTGCACGCATACTCACCGATGCTTCGAGTAGGCAGAGTATTTTTTTAAATTGCACCAACCACAAGTCCCTTTAAGGAAAGTGTCCCATTTCAGCCGTTCTGTTAATCTGAAAAAGAAGAAAAGTATCTTCGTTAGAAAGTGCGTAGTTATAGCACAATCTAAGGGGAGAAAAATGGCGGCATTTGAATCGTAAGGTTTCAATCTTTTTCTCATTTTTACCGTATCAAAAGTCAATATTTTTCAAAATCAATAGTTCAAGCAACAAATATCAAAATAAAAAAAAATCACGTTTAACCTCTTCACTTTCTTTTTATAATTATAGTTACTGCCAATAATAAATTGACAAAAAAAAAAGTCGTCCCTGAAGAAGTTAAAGTTTTCAAAGTGTATAGTAAACGTATTCAAGCAAAGTTAAGATCCATAAAAATACTCCAAACTGTCTGAGCTCGAACAACGTTCGAAACGATTGGTATTTGACGTCATTGATTTGAAGTAATTCGTGGCAAGAAATCCACAACTAGCCTGATGAATCGAGAATAGCAAATTCTGGAGTTGTCTAGCTGAATGAAAAAATTTAGGAAGCGACTGGAATTCTTTCTTGACTCGTTTCCTGTCCTGAATCAAGGATTGCGAAATGCTCGTTGTTGTTTTCTATTTTTATGTTTCTAAAACTGTTGTACCAGGAACGAGAGACCTAATTGCTTGTATCATTATAGAAAAATGTCACATTGCGCGGACGCGATAGATTTGTTTACATACAATAAAGATAATAATTAAAAGCAAACATTACCATGCTATCTTTGCGTTTTTATCTACGCTATCGTGATTTCCGATAACTAATTGCTATCCAGCTTTGAAAAGTCTGATACAAAATCTTATTTATATAAGGTAAGTACATAGTTCGTTTTGACACTGATCCGATCATCGACGATTTAGAAAAAAAAAGTTCTATATTATGCAAAGTAAAAGATGTAGTTTCTACTTTGTTAAATACTCTACCTATTCGTATGAATTTATTCAAAGTAGCAATTGTTAAAAAGCGTGACGATAATTGGAACGTTGTGTTTATATTACAATCTGAACGCTGAATAAGATATTCTTACTGTAATTCTGAGGATAAAATAGTCGACTAAATTTTATTTTTAGATTATTTCAAAGACATAAAGTTCGTACAGTGATTGCAAGATCTTTAAATAGCTGCAAAAATTCCGAAAGATAAGCAGTATTTTTCCACGCCGGATAGTAAAATGCGTGAGTCGCGTGCAAAATATTAAATCCTACGTACTTTGCTTTTAGAACTTTTCAAACATTTAGTTTCACTGCAATAGTTACAACATCTAGCGTTCATTAAATTACATGTAACTTCATAGAAAAGTCCCGCCAATACAAGTATTAATCATATTTTATCGAGAGATAAAACGATAACGGTTATTGTTGCAATTTTGTTTTACTAAAAATTACGCTATTAATAGAATAGAGTTTAGACTCGTATTTTTTGCGACGACTCGGTCGGTTCCATTGTTTGCTTAGGCGCTGTCGAAATCTTCCACTCGCGGAATAAATTACGCGATACACAAAAGAAAACTTGGGAGTCGCGAGGGGACGAATCGAGGCGCAGAATCGAGGAATATTGATTCCAGAATTGCCGACCGAACATAATTTTTTAGATTTCTCAGATTCTTTTCGTACTCAGCGAAAAATGGAAAAGTATCGTTTACAAACGATACCGCGATCAAAATCGACGATTGCAAAACATACACACGGTTCGCGTTCTTTTTCACGGATCGACTCGATTTCTCACGTAACAACAAACATCTTCCAGCTACGAATTGCATTATTTTTTAACAAAGGATTTTCAAACGTCGATTACATAATAATACGTTATTTATTGTATTCCTTTAAGGTTTTCGTAACGTTATTTTATTAAAAAAGTAAATAGAAATTGTTTCAAAAATAGATACTGCGTTTGTAAAAAGATTATGTAGGTGAGGGATGCGGGATGCGAGAAATCTTCAAGATTCTTCGTTTAATACAGAATCAGGTACGTTACATAACATTTGATAACGCCTGTTGTAAAAAATATCTATTCATTATGTCGAAACGGGGAATTTTTTCGTACAGGTGTATGTATACTTCATGGTGTTATCGCTCGTTAATGCGTCACTCTACGATAGTGTTCAGTTAAACGACAACTTTGAACTATTGCACGTAAAATTGAAATCAATAGATATTTTTACGGCAAGTAATACGAGATGAAAGCTTTCTCGAAATAAGTTTTTACATTTCAAAGTAACAAATGTTTTCTTTTTTCACTGTGATACATTTTCCAGTTGAGGTAAATTAGAGACAATTCCAAAGGTCTAGTAGAAGATTCATACATTATCTTTCGATATCAAACAAACCTGTATATTATCGATAAGAAATCGAAGATCTTTTGCATACTAAAATTAAGGAAGAAGACGAGTAGTTGGAAAGAAATATGCATGAATGGGTCTGAGAACACTCAAGTTTAAAGCAAATAAAGGATCAATTTAATAAAATAAAAATTTACTATACGTTTTACTAAAATTGGCACGAACGCCAGTGACTATCCTGTCGTGTGCCAAAATTGGCACGCGACCATTGTTTTGCCATACGTATCCATGCTTTGCATTTTAGTCTTCCACTTGATTTATTTAGCCATCTGTCTTGAAAACTATTCTCCAACCCTTTAAAATTTAAAACTCTAATCCTGTATTTATGAAACGTGTTCTTTATCAATTTTGTACAACAGATAAAGAAAATAGTGGAGTTTCGTAACATCGTGTAATAAAATTACTTTAAACGGAAGAAAAAGTTTGGACAAATTCTGATCGATTCGTCCTTTTTTCGAACTCTTGCTTTGTTCTTTAAACTTAGTTCAACGAACGCGAATTTTGCCTGAAACCAGTGATTCACACGATAACGCGTATTATTCGCTTCCCGTTTCGTTGACATCACAGTGACGATTATAGGTGCACGTGTCATCAGGCGAGATTAAACGATTTCATGATATCATCGTTATTTATTTCCAGGCCATTTCAATTTGTTCGGGATCAGGGTTAATAACATCATTGGCGCCTTGTTGTAGTATGTGAAGAATTAAAGTGCCTTGCATTAACTCCTTTCCTTAATTTTTTTTTTTTTTTTTTTTTTTATCCGACGTTTCAGCGTCGACGGTTCGTGTTTTCTTTCTTCCGAGTATGCACGCGATATCGTTTTACGCTTAACAAGCAGCTTTTGTTAACGATATCGATAAACATGTCATAATGAATGACACTTTATCGTGTGAAACGAAACGTGAATTGTAATCGATCGAAAAATTAATAATATGGAAGCATTGTTTCAGATTTATTTAGTTTTGTTTACGGTAAAAGTATCAATCAAAGTCGAAGGAATGAAGTATCGATTGAAATTTTATTAAGGCGTTAGTAAAGCAGTATGAAAACATTATTTTTAACTTTTTATCGCTACTTATTTGTTCTGATTTGTAAATTGTCAATTATAATTTATATCTTCCTGTCCAATCGATCAAAATGATACATGCAGTTGAACATTAAAATATGTGCTCAAATTTTATTAACAGATCACTTGTGAATTATGAAAATATTTTCGATTCTTTGTTGCTGTTGTATCTTATTTACTCTGATCTTAGAATCTCTTTTATAATATAATATTAGTGATTCAATTTTGAAGTTTATTTAGAAGAATTCCAGCTTACTTACATTTTCTAAATATTGCTCCTTGGCTCTTTGAACCACTTATGACTTCTAACAAAAATTTCATACATCTTCGTTTGTCCAGTCCACTAAACAATGCGTTAACATTCTACCACGAAGTATCCTGTGAAGCAACTAGACATTTCAATTAAAACATTGAACTGCTACGAATGTCATGCTTCCCCCTTTTTTGCCATTGCAAAAACGGAGCTGCATCTTTTCACTAAAGAATTGTGTCAAGAACTAATGGAGTTTTTCTAATTTTCGAATCCAACAGTCATTATTAATTAATAACAAAATGTCCCATATTTTCTGGGTGCATACAAGCGATTAAGTATCTTACACAAAAATAAATGTAGAACCCAAACCTTAATTTCCTCGTTATCGTAGACTACCGTTCCCTTTGCTTCGCATTTATAGAACCGACTAAGGTCGTACAAATAGCAGGTCCCCCAATTATTTACAATAGTTTGTCCTTGCTGCTGAAAAATAAA